ATCCCGAGAATGCGGTGACTGTCGACTCAGATAACGACGCTGTGGGCGGCAGCCTCCTCTGTTCTCGTCTGAGACGCCGCCCGCTCCATGCACCCAGGAGCGACGCGGGTCCCAGGTGACGATGGCTGCAGTGCTACCGGACCCAGGTCGACCGGGGAACCCCCTATTCGCAATGAGGCGGGGTGGGGAGGCGGCACTGTTGGCGAATCCCATCATCAGCCACTGTCACCACCACCACGAGTGGTTCTCGTGACCCGCGCGGTCTCCTTCGTGACCCGCGCGTCAAGGGGAAGAAGACCTCGTGGCGGCGTCTCTGCCGCTCCTGCGAGATCCTCGCGGCGCGCGGATGTCGCGGTCGAGGTCACCGCTGCTGCTCCGGCGGGGCGACTGTCGCCTGCGACGCAGCGTGGGGTAACACGGAGGTCGATTTGCGAGATAATTGTTATAATAATAACCTCGCTTTTATACAGCGCCTTTCATATGGAAGTTTTCTCAACGCGCTGTACGTAAAATGAATCTGCACGCACAAGTATTGATAACATCGAAGTCAAATAAAAACCTGCTAATGACGATATTCATGACTACACTCGAAGTAACCCATGATGTGGAGGATGCTGTGCGGAGCGACATTCGCTGTGGTTGACAGGACGAGCGAGTTGCAGGAGGATGGTCAAGGAGTGTGTCACGATGTGGCTGTACGGCGAGCTAGGATGCGATGTACAAAACAACAAATGTATTCGTGATTATCCGGGCTCATGATGGACTCATTAACGTTCTTATGTTGTAGTCGTTTTGGATGGATCTGCATTGCAGCCTATTGTTGGTATAAGGAGCACAGCTGCATGTAGCTGCAATTATATTGATGCATGTGTGCATGTATCTATACAGATGCATGTGTATCTATACATATGCATGTGTATCTATACAGATGCATCTATACAGATGTATATGTGTACTTTATATACGTGTGCATGTAGCTGCATTCGTACATACATATGCATGCTCGTGTCTACATACAACTGTAGGTGTATGAATGTACAGTATGTGTCTACATACATACAAATGCGTGCGTGTATATATGCGCGTGTGTATGTACGTACCGTCACTTTCGTTACGTCATTTCCCTTGCAACTGCACTGAACCCCTCTGCTCACATTTCCCCGTGCACGATCTCCGCTCGTGCCCCCCCCCCCACCGGACCAGGCGGCTTCGCCCTCCGCCTGCAGTCGACCTCCACCCGCCCACCCGCCCGCACGTGGCGCGTCGCCTCCACGTGGCGCCGCCGCCGCCTCGCGAGGGCTGCGAGCCGCGAGACGCACGTGCAGGGGGGGGGGACACGCGTCTCGGTGCGGGGGCGATGCAGTTGGCAGCATTTTTGCCAAACCAACTTGAAAATAAAAAGTGGCAATGTGTTTTTGAAGTAATCTTGATTTGAAACTTTCGTGACTGCAGGAATCCATACTCTTTGGTTCTTTGCTGATGCAGGCCACGCTTTACCACCTGATGACGGACGCTTGTGTTGCGCCCGAAACGTCGTGATTTATTTTATTTTTATACTTACGTGACTTTACCGAAAGAACCAAAGAGTATGTGTTTTTGAAGGTAGAGAATTTCACTGCCATTCTTGTCCAACAGCGCTAAGAGGTAAAGGTGCAGCGCTGCAAGTGCTCGCTCACGCAAGTGCTGGTGGAAGGGTCTTCACTAGAGGGAGCTCTAGAGATTCCCTCTAGGGGTATATTTGAGCGACGCTTCAATGCTTGTAAGGGATGGGGGTATCCGCAGTTTACCCCACATCACACGACCGACGAACTGTGGCGTCATTGAATAAACTCGCACAATCGTTTTAACTGCCGCTCAGCAGTTCCCTCTATACTGTAAGACGCTTTCAGCCACTGAATGGGTGCTCACATGTGAGAGGGAACCAGAGCACCCAGAGAACACCCACTCGTGCAAGGGGGTCACACTCTATCCCACACAGACGGGACAGGTGGGAGTCCACGTGTTTCCTGCGTTGTCATCTGGCGACGAGGGTTTACCGACGAGCATGGCAGTGGGGAGCAGTGGCACGGTGGCCCCTGCACTGCGCTACGAACCCGCCAGCTCGAGTTCGATGCCGGCCACGGCTCCCGTCAGTGGCGAGTGACGTCTCGCCTGGCCCCAGGCGCTCTCCACTTCACCAGGCGGCGTTGAGCGGCGCGGTGAAGCACGCGGAGTGAAGCAGCCGCCCCCCCCCATGGGCGACACGGCGCGGGGGAGGCCTTCACCAAGCAGTGGATTGTGAAGGGTGGTGCGGCATTTGCAGTGTTTACATTTACAGTGTTTACGTGTACAGTGTTTACATTTACAGTATTTAATTTACAGTGTTTACATGTAAAGTGTTTAAATGTACAGTGTTTAAATGTACAGTTTTACATGTACAGTATTCTCGGATTGTATTGGTCGTGAGCGGGAATCAAACAGGGGTTCGTATCACCGTGCACTAACCACTACACTCCTGCTCCACATACACCCTGAGAGACACTCGCCAACTTGTAAGCAAAGTAGATTAAGGGTGGCGGTTGTGGATTTGGGGTGGTGGTTGCAATGTGAGCAGGGTGTTACTTGTTTTTGTAACGTTAGTTGGTTATTGGTGGTGGTTGTGAATGTGGGGTGGTGGTTGCAATGTAAGTAGGGTGTTACTTGTTTTTGTAACGTTAGTGGGTTATTGGTGGTTGTGAATTGATGGTGGTTGTGAATGTGGGGTTGTGGTTGTGAATTGGCGGTGGTTGTGAATGTGGGGTTGTGGTTGAGCGATACCGCTTTTCCATGAGCCACAGAACTCGACTTCTTACTCCAGTTGCAACCCCCATCCACAACCCGCATCACCACTTACAGTCTACTCCAGTTGACTGCCATTTTTGGCTGGAGCCTGTTGCTACGACTTGGAACATACACAATGAAACTAACACATAATAATAAACATCTGAACATGCAAGAAAGCATTGAGAGGTGCATGCGTGGACCAGCAGCGAGATACTGAGGTACACGTGGATAAAAAGAACACGAGCTTCAGACACCATATTGATGGTTATAAAAATGGGCTTGTGCAGGAAACGGACGGGACGGGTGGCTGAGGCGATTATGGAAGTGGCAGCCAAGGAGGGAACACGACCGAGAGGTTGTCCAGCACACAGGCGGGGCGAGGAACTCGGCTCGGGTGCAGTGGCGGGACGGATTGTCGCATCGCAGAACCGAGGTGAAGGTAGCTTGGGGAAACTGTCATCCAGCAGTGGAGTGTTCATAGCTAGAATTTCGTCATAATAGCCAATGCGTTTAATGAATACGTATAATGTATGCATAGATACCATTAAGTGAATTGTGAACTCAATAGCATATGTGTATTAAATTGTAAACACGACTGGAGGTAAACGAGGCTGCAAGCGCTGCGTTTGCATGTGGGCCCTGCCTGGCCATGGTGGAGTGCAGGCGCGTTGCACCATCACCCACCGGTGCGTTTAGTGCACTGCGCTCGTTTCAGATCAATGTGGACACTTTTGTTTCTTCATAGAGGGAATGTAAATGGTCACGTGCCACTGTTTTAACTTGCGTTCCTAATTTCTCACAATGCCATGCAAAAGAACAGGATTTTGCAGTCTATTTTTTGTGTACTTCTTGAGTGTTGTAGAGCCAGCAATAGCTACTTTTATAAGATGTGTCGAATCCTCAAAATTGTTCAACCAAATTGTACAAAGATTGGCCCCTAAGTGTGCAATGCAAGTTAAAGTATTAAGACATTCTTTTGGTCTTTCGGTAAAGTCACGTAGATAGGTACAAATTGATAAAAAATATATATATTAAATGAACAAAAAACTACGATGTTTTGATCACAACACAAGCGATCGTCATCAGGAGTAAAGAGGGGGAAAGCTGCTGAATGCAGACTGTTTTATAGGTTTAAAATGGGTGTAGTACTAAAGTCATAAACGGAGTGGGCGGGGCTAGTGATGTTAATGTGAGAAATTAGGATGTTAATGTAAGATCGCAGAGCGGCCTCCACGACGAGTGCGCGGGTGGCTATGTTAATGTGAGAAATTAGCATGTTAATGTAAGACCGGAGAGCCGCCGCGACGTCGAGCGACGTCTGGAGGTGGCCACATTGGCGCGATAAATTTCACCTGTTAATGTGAAATGGGAGAGCCGAAGCCACGGAGAAAAAAATATAATTTATCATCGGAGGGTGGTGGGATGGGAACATCACAGCTAGTTAGGACTTAAACTGGTTGATGACGTCTTTCCAATGATTGCTGAGTTTGTACCCATCCTCTCGGTTGAAATTGTGTCTGTCTGTATATATGGAAGTGCACTAGGCATTGGCTGATTGAACTCCAGCAGCATGGACGTGAACCTTTAATGAAGGGTTTCTTCCTTTGGTCCATCTTTTCCCATGGGCGGTGCCATGGCCCTGCAGTGTTTGCCATTTGTTACAGACGTTTGTGGTTCGAGCCCAGTGGCCTTCCTGGACAATTCTGTGGATGTATTAACCATAAGTAGCACCATCTGTTTCACAGTGGATGCTAGAGATCCCCGGATTTTACTAGGCAAGAGCAGACCACTCTGTGCTGGCGTAAGGGTTCAGACTTGCCAAACTATAAAATTACCATGGAAATGACTCAATTTGGATTAAACATAACAATCATCACCCTGGCAGACGAATGCTCCTGGTCACTCTTGCAATTGCCACTATCCTTGTCTTTTGAGTTCTCACCTGGCTAAACAAAATAAACGTAGAAACCTGTTACACCGCACGCAAAACAGGGACATCTGCACTGAGGTAGGAGAGGAAGGAAATGAGGTAAACACTGAGATAATTAACGTTCTGGTCATGCAACCCCGAAATAGCCGAGTCGACCTGAGACATGAGACCATGTCAATTCCACAACACTTGGCGTCACAAACATGATTTCCACAGCAACATTCACAGCATTGTATTGTTTATTGTTATATTATATCCATATGCTGGTACACTGAATTATTCGATATATGGATGTGCCTGCATAATTCCGAGCACATTTTGATGAGGTTAACAGATTACAAGGTTAAGACTGATTTGGTTTGAATTACATTCCCGAGAACAGTGGTTCCCAGCCGTGGACCACAAGGCCATGGGCGGACCACGGAACTGTCACAGACACGGTGATCCCTTTCACAAAACCCTCTATTTTGTACTGCACTTGTATTTTGTACTGCCGGTTGTAAAACTTTATTTAGATCATTCAATAAAAAGCTAATTAATTGTTATGGGTTTTTTAAATTAACATTCTACAATTATTTTACTGAAGTGAAAGTTAGACAATTTGTGTACAAGGTGATCCGCGAACGAGTTTTGAGGGATGAGGGACTGTGGATCCAAAAACTATAAGAACCACTGCCTGAGAGCGACCAAGCCAATACAATGAGCACGGTTCGTACCTGCTTATACGGACATTAATAAAACCCACACCAACAATGAAATATTGTCTACATGTACAAATTTTAGAAGATACTGTCAGAATTGGCTCAAATGTTGTAGATGTTTCGAGTTCTGTACCCAGGTGCCACCAATCAATAACACAGGAGAGTCATGAGAACATACATGAACCATTATCGATGCATTTTCAACATATTCCTATCCATGACAAGAAGCTTGAACGAAGACTGAGATGAGATAAACAGCAACACAATTCTCAAGCCCCCTGTTCCAGCGAGCCGCTCCACGAGAATCGGCAGTGCAATGGGCACGACACCGCACTCCTGTCCCTGCAGTTTCTTGGGCTGTGACCTCTCTCTCAGCATCGCACTCTACTAGACCAGCTAGCCGCTTCATTCTGTGCCTGCATATCTCAATGTGCCTCTTGCTGTGCATAAACCAAGGTCACCAGAGAACTCTGCAGGTAAGGATTGTGTTGTCTCCTACTATATATAATGCCCTTTCACTTAATGAGAAAACACATCCCATCATGTTCAGAAGACCACAACCATATTCCCAAGAAAGTAAATAGTCATCCATAAGATATATAGAAATTCCCCAATTAAACAGAACAAAGTATCTAAACAGTATTAATCAGTATTACATAACTCCTCTTATCCATTTTAATGAGGGACCATTATCACGTATCCTATTCGTGGTTTTGCTCCACTTACCCACAAAGGTAAAATTGCATATAATCGTGAATAAAATGAAATTGCCACGCAATTCCACTTATCCACGAAAAAAACACGGATAATCAAAAGAGTTTTAGAGTGTAGTGCATGTTGGGAAAGAGGGTGGTCAATACTTGCAGATAACCCATAGATATCCACAGGTATTGAAATATTATATTTAATCAGATGTTTAGCAGGAGTTACAATAGTTAATTAGCATCGTGATTTAGTCGGTATGGGGGTTTGGGGAGGGGTTAGTCTTTTAAGCGCAGCAGAAGTTGACAATACATCATGACCTCTGACGTTACAAAATTGAATACTATGCATGAGCAAAATTATTCTAAGAAAAAGAAAAACCTGGGCTTTGGCGCAAAAATTGTGTTTTCTTTGTAGCTCCATACAGAATGTAAAACATTGCGGATAGGCTGCGGGTAAAAGTATGAATTTTCCATGACTCAATTTAGCTACGAATAATATGGGGTACAATTGGAAGCATTATGATTTACAATAGGAAACAGTTTTTGCAGATAATAGGAAGAAAAGAGCTTGGGTAAGAACATTTTTTGCAGATGCTATAGGTGCCACGGATAATAAGAGTAGTGGTTAATAGCGTAACATAAGATGAGTTCTGTATAAATGTTTAATCACAACTAAAGGGATCATGAATCTAAAGTTAAACTCCAGAAAAGAATTGACTTATCCAAGCAAAGAGCATAATCAGTGCACCCTTACACAGGTGAATGACTGTTGGAATTTACTGCACTAGATTACCAAGTCTTTATGGAAATTGCACACGAGCATGCTCCTGTGGGAAATAGTGTGCTCTGATTATGTTATTTATTTTTTATTGTGTTACAAGTCCTAGTTGTGGTTTACGGTAATCTGTTTATAATTTAAGATTTTCCACTAATTTCTGTATTTTGTAGACAAGTTCGTGCATATGAGAGCATTCAATAGCGGTGGAGTTGTAAACCACTTAAATCACGTAACTTTGGGAGAGAGTAAATAAAGTAAAGATGTATAATTGTTGCGCATCCTAACAAGGCAGAAGTGAACATGGGCACTTGTCCAAAACTATTGAATGGTGCAGCTCTTCTTCTTCTGAGCTGAAAAATAGAAGAAAAAGCAATCACAACGCAGTTGGCGGACGTGAAGGACACTTGCATTTATAACGGCGCAAATATTTCAAACAATGCTGCTATGATTTGGAGCAAGGTCACGCTTTTGGTACCTCCCGTGCAGTTGCTTAGAAGCTATAAGCAGCACAAAAATATCGATCAGCCTCTGAGCCACTGCTTCACTTGATGCAGCAGCACATGTACTTTATGAGTCAGGTGACGAACGCAAGCCACTGGGACAACGAGTTCGATGTTTGTTGTACAGGAGATCTTCGAACATCTCGGGGGTTACGTTCTTGGATCGTGCCACGAAAGCCAAAACCGCGTTATTCAATCATTAAGCCTTCCCTAAATAATGTGGTAAGGTACACGGCAACCAAAAATAGACATCACAATTGAAATAAGTATTGTCTCTATGTCAAATTAACTCGAAACTAAACAATTGAAATATGTAATAAACCATACAAAAAACGACCCTAGACAATAAAAAGGACTATAAATATTGAATAAATACTTTACTTACCGTTGATGATTATCCAAAGCGGGTGTGTTTGTCGGCGAGTGGGGAGCGGTAGTGCAATGGTTAGCGCGCTGCTCTATAAACTCGACGACCTAAGTTCGATTCTGGCTCACGCCCAACAGCAGCGACGATTATCTGAATCAGTCCTGGGCCTCCCCTATGTCGACTCAGCCTCAAATAAGTACCTGATGCGATTTGTAAACATCTCCACTGGGGACACAAATGCGTGGTGCTGGCCGTCATAGGTGCTCGCTAACAGCAAAATTCTCCAACAGTCCGTTACGGGGTCTTTGTCGTTGTCTGCAAGATGCTTGCACGGCAAAGGTGGCGCTGACAGCGAAAGGCCAAAACTAACCCCCGCGGTAGCTAAATTGGTACACAAAGAGGTCGCCCGAAGTAGATCTAAACCGTGAACGATAAGCCTGAGATATTCAAGGGTATCCTGTATATGTACAGCCCTTTGTTAATCCACTGCTGGATGAGGGCATCCCCATGGCATGTACGTCATGGGGTTTAAATGACCATACTTCGCCATGCTAGACAGTGCGGGCTGGTTAAGATAGGGAGCATAAATGCAGAAGCATAAAAGTACAATGGGATTTTCTGCACTGCCCTCTGCTGCCCACAACGTAGCCCTACCTACAACACATACAGTGCAGGCGTGATTTGATATGTGCATTGTAAGCCCGATAATGGATTAATTACTAACCCGAACTGCTTGCTAACCACATTGAACGTATACGCCGCACACGAAATATATCAGACATGTGACAACGCATTATTCATCGGTTAAATATATTACACTCACGATGCACACATCGGGTCATGCGTGTGCGATTCCATGACAACACCAATGCAAACACTGTTTAATGTTACTCTTAAACTAAAGGATCTAACCAAACTGTACACATGAGATGGAACAATTAAGAAAAACACAAATGAGACAAAGTATGAGACAAACAATATTGATTATTAAATCTAAGCACTTCCTCAAACCGTCACAAGTTTTCAAATCACCAGCAGGGTAAATCATATCATGCCTAATTCAAATGTGATGCAGCTGGGGCTTCATTCCCAATTGCACAAAAGCGGCTTGGGTCTCGCTTATGACTGACAACAGCTGGGATAGCACAGTGAGTGAACAGCCTCAAGCGTTGTGCTACCCATCGTTTCTGATGGAAAATCAATAACATTGGCAGAGAGATGTGACTGTCAATGACATATAATAGTAACTTTTCGATGTCCTGAAAAACGGCCATTGCTTGAAATGTTGCCTATAATATATATTTTGCCTTATAGGATAGTGTTATTGATGAATTCGTTGAATTTGTATTGTCTGCTCATGCACCATTGCCAATGCAGTATCACTAAAGTATTTGTTTCGTGAGTAATTTGTGAAGTTTAAGACATTCCTAAAATATTCTGAACTGTATCATCTTCTTATATATAAAAGTCTCCGCACGCTCGCGCTTGCGGGGGATTTGGCTCTCGGACAGTAGGGTTTAAGACCGAAATATTTTCCAGGCGGCACGCCCTAAGCCCCATGGTGGGTTTAGGCTATTCCGTTTTCCCGTCCGTAAACTTTAAAGTAGTTTAATTAACACATTTGTGCCGTTTCTATTATTCATTATTTACTTATTGCGCGACATCGACCGTACCAAGTGACGCCAATTGCGTGGGGGGGTGAGGCGGACCCTGCCAAGTCATGCGCGTTCGCTCCAGCTCACGGGAGACATTTTATTTTACGCGTTTAACATGGAATAGATATACACATCACGCTGCCGATTTATCTTCACAGTGTGATGTCCCCCCCCCCACCCCAATGCGTGCAGTTACTCATATAAAGTCCTTAGATATTAATTTTATATTATTAAAGCGGTTACATAGTATTATTATGGCGAGGGCGGGGGGATGGTGGGGGGGGGGGCGGGGGTAGCGGCCCAGCTCGCAGCCTGGCAATGTCTCACCTCCGGCTTGCCAATCTAGGCGAGGCCGCGGGCTCTGCACGGGACGAGGCGTCACCACGCCAATGTAAAGTACAATTTTATTCAATCTTTCGCTAAAAACTCAGGTTTATTGTTTACTATTATTAAACAAATACGTTTACAAACATTACAATGATAATGTTTGCGTGCACATAACAACTCTGCTTCATTCTTTACTATTATTAAACTAATAAGTTGCCTAATACTCTATTACTATTATAATGTTCGTGTGCAGAAACTAGATGCGTGTGCCTAAAGTCGATGTCTGTGTGTGTGAGTCCATGTGTTTGTGTGCGTGTAAGTCGATGGGTTTCTATGTGTGTGGGTCCATGTGTGTATCTGTCTTTTTCAAATGGACAACGCCCCGTGTGTGTGTACGTACAAGTGTTTGTGTGTGTCAGTCCATTTGTGTGCGTATCTGTCGCTGTGTGTGTGTTAATCCACATGTGTGTGTTAGTTCATACGTCTGTGTTTCACTCGATGTGTGTACATCAATGCGTGTGTGTGAGTCGATGTGTGTGCATGGCTCCATCTGAGTGTGTAAGTCAATGTGCGTTTGTGTGTCTATGTGTGTCGATGTGTGTTTGTTAATCCATGTGTGTGTATCTAAAGTAGATGTCTGTGTGTCACAGTCCATATGTCTATGTGTGTGTAGGGCAATGTGTGTCAGTCTATGTATGTGTGTGTAAGTCCATGTGTTTGTGTGTGTGAGTCGATGTCTGTGTGTGTCAGTCCATGGCTGTCTGTGATAGTCGCTTTGTGTGCATGGCTCCATGTCAGTCAGTGTAAGTCCATTTCTTTGCGTGTCTGTAGCTCCATGTGTGCATGTGAGTGAGTGAATGTATGTGCTTTATTGACCTGCTCAAGGCCTATGATACCATCAGTAGGCCTGGCCTCTGGGTTGTTCTTCATGCTTTCGGAGTCCCTCAAACTTTGCTCATGATCCTTAAGGACCTTCATGATGGTGAGCGGCCCCGCGTAAAACTACATGGCCGTCAGTCAGAGCCATTCCCTCTACACCTTAGGGTGTAACAGGGATGTCCTCTGGCTCCACATTATTTAACATCTTTTGACCACGTAGTTCGTGAAGCCTTCAATGGCTGTTCCCGAGGAATTACCATATGGTACAGATACAATGGGAGGCTGATCGATGCCCGGGTGCGGTCAAGGGATGCCTCCCTATTGCTCAACCATGTTATGTATGCCGATGCTCTGGTGATTGCTGCTCACTGCGGTTGAACCTGGAGCTTGCCACTAAGAGGTGGAGCCTTACTATCAGCCCCACCAAAACTAAGCACCTGCCTGGGTATTTTGTACCATCGAACAATCCACCCCCACAACTCACAATTGGTGATGCGGTAGTTGTGGAGAGATTGCCGAGATTCCCATACCTGGCCAATGTGCTCATGACCGGCTCCGGTTTAACAGCAGAGGTCTCACTCCAAATCAGTCGAGCGCCATTATCTTTTCATCGGCTGTGTTATGCTGTGTGGAAGCTACCTGGTCTTTCGCTCCATGAAGCTCCAGGTCTTCTCGGGCACGGTAATTCCCTCCCTTCTCTACGCTTGCGAAACGTGCACCCCCCTAATGGAACATCTTCACCGGTTAGAAACATTTAGGTTGGCCTGCTAACGATCCTTTCCTGGATTTAACCATATATATGTGTGTGTGCGTCTAAGTTGATGTGTTTCTATGTGTGTGGGTCAATGTCTGTGTGTAAGTCCATGTGTGTATCTTCCTTTTTTGCCCGAGCAACGCCGGGTACTTACCGCTAGTATTACAATATTCATACGACACAATGTGTTATACACATTGCCCATTCATATTGATTTATAGAACGATTCTTTATTTTAGCTATGGGATGCTAAGAGCTATTCATGTGATACGGACTCGACGCTAATACAATACTCACCAGGCACCTGCACTTAATAGTGGCAAGGGGAGGTAGGAATGACATAGACGCACGATTAGTTCATTATCATCATCAGAGCCCGGGTTTGGGGACACCCTCTATACCTCGTTTTTCTTCCTCTTTTTTCTTCATTGCTTCCATGCGTTCCAATTGTAGTCCCTGAATGTGCTGCATCACCAGCTGCTGATTTATCTATTGGGAGAACACGATTAACAAATGTAGGCAGAGGTTATATATATGCTATGGACTGTTTATCTGGATGTGCATTCATTTAGCGGAGTAGAGATGCTTCTCAATTATAGGCCTCAGTAGTGTTGAGATGGACAACATGCAATATGACTGTGCATCTACGATCACAAGTTTCCACCAGTGACGTGCGGTGAGGTCAATGGCTGGGGAGGCACTGGTTACTGTCAGAGCCAGATTCACACACTGAGGGGGGCGTGGCCTCACGGAGGGGGCGTGTCCTCAGTGAGGGGGCGTGTCCTCAGAGGGGGGCGTGTTAGACACGTCCCCACGATGTGATAGTTGCCTCCCTGGTACTTTTTCATTGCAGTTTCATGACGAGACCAGCGAGCCTAAATATCTTTATACACATACGTGAAATAAGTTACCTGGAGTATGGAAAGCGAGGACATGAAATGAAGGGGTCTACCAACATTATATTAGTGACATGCTGAGATAGTAACAGGCACGCGCTTATTGCCCGCGCTTCATCCAGTTACTGAGAGGTTGCGCAATCAGAGAGGAAGCTGAACTCGTCACTGCCTCACCTCTCGTCTCTTCCTGTATTTGCAGCGGAGCTCCGCAAATTTGGCGATTTTAACTATAAAAATGATTGGAATCGTACAGAAATGATATTTATAACACAGATCAGTGGAAAAATTTTGTTATTAATTTTATTTGATTATTATTTTTGTACTTTTCGTAACAGCTATTTTTATTGGAGTATGACAGGTGAGGCTTTGCCTCCCCTGACCGCACATCCCTGGTTTCCACAATGACAACTTTGCCACGTGAACATTTCACACAATGCACATGTCACAGTAAAGCAGATCCCTCACAATTTTGGATTATATGTGTAACAGGGATTAATATTAACTCATCTAGGAAAATATCACTTGAATTTATATTTCAGAACAGTCCAGCAGTGGGATGTTTGGACAGAGCCATGAATAACAATAAGTACACTTGGTATTCTTATAGCACCAAGGCTTTCACAAAGGCATTATATTTATGCCTTGTAGGCATTAGAAAAGTTTTTGTCATGCATCTACTGCACACATGGCTAACAGTGACAAATCCCGGACCGTGACCCACGTGCCAACCACATGAATGAGTGTTTGGCTTCATGTAGGAGGAAACGGAGTACCCACAGAAAACCCACATTTACACGAAGATGACATTGAAATGCTCTGGACAGTTGAAATCTTCAGGAACTCGTGATTTTGCATAATGCATAAAGCTGAGAGCTTTTGTACACGCAGTGCACATTTTTGCATGTTGTTGAAATATACATTACAACACCATGGGATTGCACTGTATATGATGACTAGCGGTAAGTACCCGGCGTTGCTCGGGCAAAAAAGGAAGATACACACATGGACTTACACACAGACATTGACCCACACACATGGAAACACATCAACTTAGACGCACACACATATATATGGTTAAATCCAGGAAAGGATCGTTAGCAGGCCAACCTAAATGTTTCTAACCGGTGAAGATGTTCCATTAGGGGGGTGCACGTTTCGCAAGCGTAGAGAAGGGAGGGAATTACCGTGCCCGAGAAGACCTGGAGCTTCATGGAGCGAAAGACCAGGTAGCTTCCACACAGCGTAACACAGCCGATGAAAAGATAATGGCGCTCGACTGATTTGGAGTGAGACCTCTGCTGTTAAACCGGAGCCGGTCATGAGCACATTGGCCAGGTATGGGAATCTCGGCAATCTCTCCACAACTACCGCATCACCAATTGTGAGTTGTGGGGGTGGATTGTTCGATGGTACAAAATACCCAGGCAGGTGCTTAGTTTTGGTGGGGCTGATAGTAAGGCTCCACCTCTTAGTGGCAAGCTCCAGGTTCAACCGCAGTGAGCAGCAATCACCAGAGCATCGGCATACATAACATGGTTGAGCAATAGGGAGGCATCCCTTGACCGCACCCGGGCATCGATCAGACTCCCATTGTATCTGTACCATATGGTAATTCCTCGGGAACAGCCATTGAAGGCTTCAAGAACTACGTGGTCAAAAGATGTTAAATAATGTGGAGCCAGAGGACATCCCTGTTACACCCTAAGGTGTAGAGCAGGGGTCGGCAACCTACGGCTCCGGAGCCACATGCGGCTCTTTACAGGCTGCTTCTTGACGATGAGTACAGTGTACTCAGATGCATTGCGGCTCTTGAAATACTGAATTTTGTACCGAATTGGAAAGAAATGGCTCTTCTTGTTATTTTGGTTGCCGACCCCTGGTGTAGAGGGAATGGCTCTGACTGACGGCCATGTAGTTTTACGCGGGGCCGCTCACCATCATGAAGGTCCTTAAGGATCATGAGCAAAGTTTGAGGGACTCCGAAAGCATGAAGAACAACCCAGAGGCCAGGCCTACTGATGGTATCATAGGCCTTGAGCAGGTCAATAAAGCACATACATTCACTCACTCACATGCACACATGGAGCTACAGACACGCAAAGAAATGGACTTACACTGACTGACATGGAGCCATGCACACAAAGCGACTATCACAGACAGCCATGGACTGACACACACAGACATCGACTCACACACACAAACACATGGACTTACACACACATACATAGACTGACACACATTGCCCTACACACACATAGACATATGGACTGTGACACACAGACATCTACTTTAGATACACACACATGGATTAACAAACACACATCGACACACATAGACACACAAACGCACATTGACTTACACACTCAGATGGAGCCATGCACACACATCGACTCACACACACGCATTGATGTACACACATCGAGTGAAACACAGACGTATGAACTAACACACACATGTGGATTAACACACACACAGCGACAGATACGCACACAAATGGACTGACACACACACACAAACACTTGTACGTACACACACACGGGGCGTTGTCCATTTGAAAAAGACAGATACACACATGGACCCACACACATAGAAACCCATCGACTTACACGCACACAAACACATGGACTCACACACACAGACATCGACTTTAGGCACACGCATCTAGTTTCTGCACACGAACATTATAATAGTAATAGAGTATTAGGCAACTTATTAGTTTAATAATAGTAAAGAATGAAGCAGAGTTGTTATGTGCACGCAAACATTATCATTGTAATGTTTGTAAACGTATTTGTTTAATAATAGTAAACAATAAACCTGAGTTTTTAGCGAAGGATTGAATAAAATTGTACTTTACATTGGCGTGGTGACGCCTCGTCCCGTGCAGAGCCCGCGGCCTCGCGGTTAGATTGGCAAGCCGGAGGTGAGACATTGCCAGGCTGCGAGCTGGGCCGCTACCCCCGCCCCCCCCACCATCCCCCCGCCCTCGCCATAATAATACTATGTAACCGCTTTAATAATATAAAATTAATATCTAAGGACTTTATATGAGTAACTGCACGCATTGGGGTGGGGGGGGGGACATCACACTGTGAAGATAAATCGGCAGCGTGATGTGTATATCTATTCCATGTTAAACGCGTAAAATAAAATGTCTCCCGTGAGCTGGAGCGAACGCGCATGACTTGGCAGGGTCCGCCCCACCCCCCCCCCACGCAATTGGCGTCACTTGGTACGGTCGATGTCGCGCAATAAGTAAATAATGAATAATAGAAACGGCACAAATGTGTTAATTAAACTACTTTAAAGTTTACGGACGGGAAAACGGAATAGCCTAAACCCACCATTGGGCTTTGGGCGTGCCGCCTGGAAAATTATTTCGGTCTTAAACCCCACCGTCCGAGAGCCAAATCCCCCGCAAGCGCGAGCGTGCGGAGACTTTTATATATAAGATGACAAGGGGTAAACGATCTGTGCATTATCGCATCCGACGCAACTTTGTGAATGACATTGAATCATAAGATCGGACCAGCGGCACAAGCAGCAGAATGTGATTGGATTAAGAAAGAGTTGCGTGTCTGTGTGAGTCAACACGCAGGATACTCTGCTCATGGGCCTTACAAGGTGATGCATTGTGAGGTTTTGCAATCACGTTGCATGGTTTATTTCTCTTTCGCCTTAACGTATGTGACTTTTTAAAATTATGCTATTGCAGTAACATTTTATTTGCAATGTTTTGTGCTGAAATAAAACTGCATCTGAAGACACGGTGGCCAGCACACATTTTATAGCCATCAGATGTTTTCCTGAGAAGTTATCTTAAGTAATCTTCATGCTGCACCAGTAATCTTATAAAGGGGGCTCCCTTTCTACTGTAGGGGTGTTAGAGAGAGAGCCGTTATGCATGGCAGCTTATGGAAAACAAACACAGTAGGCGGGGCTACGTGAGTGCACGGGGAGGTGCTCTCTACGACGTCCGAGCCAGGCACCTGGGGAAGGCTGATTCGGACGTTATGATCCCCCGGGGCCCCACCCCTCAGCGGGGGGTTGGGTATAAAAGGGGATGTATCAGAGGGCTCGGGAGTCATGTTAAGCTAACCAGTGAAGACTGAAGACGTCTTAGCTAGAGCCCTGGACTCCCCTGGTTCGCCGTCCTTATCAGGGCCGAACAGGACCGAGCCAGCGGCGTGGTCCCGAGGTCCAGAGCCGGTGCTCTTGTCAGAGCTGGTCTGGGACTCAGGGTACCGGGCCCGACTTACCAGTGTCGGGCCAGATAGCCTCCCCTAGCCCGTTAGAGGAGGACTAGGAGGCAGGCTAGAAGTAGCTAGCGTGTATCCCCAGCTAGCCGGGTGAGGGGGCCGACACCCCCTCTAGAGTTGTATGCCACAACCGTGCTGTGTATAATAATAAACCCGTGTGCCTCCAACTCCGGCGTCCAAGAGTCGTGAACTCTACTACATCTGGGGTCAGAAGTAAATATCTACGAACATGGACACGTGCCGGACAGCTCGAGTCAGGGTACCGGAGGGGGAGGACACCGTTGCAGTCGGGGAGCCCGGGACGCCTGAAGAAGGCACAGAGCAGTCGGAGCCG